AACGGAATTATCAATTTTTAGGAGGAAATATAAAAAAAAAAACTAACGAAAGAAACGTGTAATATGCATAGAAATTCCATTGAAAAAAGGTTTTTAATTATCAAAATGCCGAATATCGAATGTGGCGAAAATCTTAAAAATATCGAATATCGGAACATACTGTTATATGAATGGACCTTCATGGATAATTTTCTGCCATATGAATGGACCACCATTACAAACTCCAAATTTGAAAGAGTTCCCTCCTCACAGACGGTCAACATTTCTTATTTATTTTATATAAACCAAAAATAAGAGGGAGGTGTCAACGAATTTGTGAAAAAAAAAAAAAAAACTTAAAACAGGTATAAAAATACGAACATAAAACCAGTAGAGAAAAATCAAAAGTCGAGCGGGCCCGACTATATGATACCCTACACCACTATTCACATTTAGTAAAGCTCCAGTAACAAAGGAATTTATTTCAAGTAGATCAAATCAACCATCAACATTTGGCTTAAGAGCAGTTATAGTTTGCTGTAGAGTGCATAATATCACTTGAAGAAGGATTGTATTAAAAAAATATATATCGGAGACGAGTTGCACAAAATGGAAACATACGTCCTTAAATTCACTCCATTTGGGCTGATATTAGCCATTATTTGCACAATAAACCTAAAGGATTAAGGGTATATGTGGGAGCTGTATCCAAATCTTAGCCGTTCTCGTTAACATTTTGCAAAGGTATTTCCTAGCTTTATAAGATATATGGTACTAAATATCATTGTTGTTTATATTACGAATGTGAGGGACTTAAACACCAAATCGGATGAAACATATATATGGGCGCTATAGCTATATCTGAACAGATTTTTAATTTAATATACTTGCTTCTAGTTTGAATTCGATCGGATATGCCAAAATTCAGGTTATTTGGACTGATATTGGCCATTTGGGGCACAATTAACCCGTAATCGGTTGAGGAGCTATATCCAAATCTAGACCGATCTTTACAAAATTTTAATACACTTATTTCAGAGCTGTATCTGATATCTGGTACCAAAGATCATTGTAGTGGAATGCATATTACGTTTGTGAGGGACTTTAAATCTCAAATCGGATAAAACATATATATGGGAGCCATAGCTATATCTGGATGAATTCAGTCGTAATTGCCAAAATTCACAATTAACTCGATAGTTCTTTGAAGATCCTCAAAATTAACTATGGGTCTATCTCGCTTCCTTCTCCATGTTACGAAAAATACATAAACACAAACACATGCACAAAAACTATGTGGTGTAGGTATAAAAACCGACTGATACATTGTAACTTATTTAAAAATCAAAAAAAGAGTTAAGAAAAAGAGTAAAGAAATGCTCAGTGACTTTAGACATTAAAGCATTTTGGGGAAAAGTCAAATGTTTGAGTAAATTAAAAATTTATAAACAATTGCTCACTCTTCTGAAACGACAACAAGTTTTACTAATAATTTATTTACTAATGGTATTTTTGTTATCAATAATTAAATTGTCATTAACAAATAATGCATTTAAAAATTGTAATTTATTAAAATTGAATAGTGCAAAACTAAACAAGAATGGAAAATATCAAAGGCGGTGGGTTTACCCTACGCCACTACAGGTATTGTCTCATTACATTGGTTCCTAGTAGACAAAAGGACCGCATAACGATTTTACATACGAGATCAAATAGAAGACACATGTATATGAGAGACAATATTTCTCCACTATCTTCTCGTACTTGGACCCCATGAGATGAATCCATTTCATGACATCTGAATTTGTTCCAGCAATGTACGGTTTCAATCTGGATGTCTTGTACGCACTTTAAATATTAAATGAAGTTTACCGTTTTGTTTAAAAATAGCACATCGCAATATTTTTTTTTATCAAACTTTGATCCAGCTCATAGCTAGACCATATTGCTCCACTCCTTCGGGAACCTACCACAACTACCTGCTGTAGATTAGGCAAGGTAGAACATTTGGCAAGATAAGGACGAAATGATTCATAGATATTTTTTAAATGCAAACATGCGATAATTTATGTTAATCCGTGCAAATATTGATGTTCTGGTAGCTCCTCCACAAAACTTCCAGGTTACAAATTATTTATTTCATGTAAAAAGATATTGTCCATGGGAAATAACGAAAACTAATTCTCGTACAAAACCATACAGTTACGAATAAAAATTACTCTCATAAAATGTTAAATTGTTATCCTATCTAGCCCGAACTTCACACATCAAAATAGTTCTGACATATTAGATCTTGTGTCAAAATGGGATATCATGGTACTTCCCTCACAAACAGCCAAAATCTCAATAAATAATAAGATTCAGAGCATCAGTCGTATAGCCAAAAGATGTATACTCTCAATGTTATGATCGTTTATTTAAGAACATTTTCTTGCGTTATGATTATTCAAACGTTTGACCCTTTATGGGGTCAGTGGGCCAATATTGTCTATTTCATATCTGACATAAACATTATACAGGGTTGCCCATATTCGACGGACCTATTGCCCTTTGGGCCCATTCCAATCGACGCAGGCAACATTCTTTGCGTCAATTGAATTGTGTACGGGAACAAATGCAAATCAATGCGATAATCCGTTGTAAAGTGGACCGTGCCATGTCCAACTGCTGAGAACGGAGTTTTTGGGATGTTCTTGGGGACCTCTCAACACTGGCTCGTACGGCAGCGATATTCTCGGCCGATCGCCTTGGTCGACTTTTATATGGCCTCTTCGGATTAGAAAGAGCCTTATCAGTCGAAAATTTTTCGTATAAACGCTTAATGGTGTTCTTAGAAGGCGCACTTCTCACATTTTTAATGTTTTAAAAGCACGTTGAGTTTTCACAATTGACTTCTTCTGTTGAATGTAAATTTCAACTATTTCAGAGAGCTCGCGTGGCGTGTATTGGTTCATGGTAAAAATCTGCTTAGACTGACGTTTCAAACGCGGTATGTCATTAAGCGATGTGACATCTCTGTCAAAAGTTATGGCGTTGCTAGATGGGTCCGTCGAATATGGACAACCCAGTATAATATAAACATTATTTAAACGTGCCAGATCGACAACTTTATTCGATTTATTTGAGATAGTTGGATGTATTTTTTGGGTAGGATATTTTCACGCTTCAAAGAAAATCGGACATTTATTTTTAAAATTTCAGATCTCTGGCTGAGAGAAATATTTAGCTACATCAAGTTTTAAAATAATGTATAATTATTTAAATATGTGGGTTTTTTGGGGGAGATGCCAGAAGCGGCGAGCCGACATCTGTCATCTTTACACCAGATCTTCCGTTAGTAAAAATATTGGGACGTGTGAAATTTAAAGTGTGCCGATATCTGCGATCTTCACAACAGATCTTGTGTTAGTCTAAATCTTGGAATATGTGAAGTTTAGAAAGATTTGCATGATTATATCTCATTTAATTTTTTGTAGCGTAGTAATAATTATAAGTGTTATAATTATTCAAAATTTGGATTCTTTATTGGGGAGGTACTTGATGGAGTGGTCGATATTGTCCATTTTCGCACTTGACCTATCGCTGATAAAAATATTAGGATTTGCAAAGTTTGCACAAAATCGGATGATCTTTTCTTGTTCCATGAGGTGAATAGTATTCTTGGAAAATGTTGACCTTTTGTGTGGGAGTTGGGGGACAACATTGAAGTGGACCAGAAGTAGTGGACCAACATTATAATAGCTTTAGGTTGTACCAAATTTAGACAAAGTCGGATACTTCTTTCGAGAGTAATCGGGCGTAACAGTCAAATAAATGTCCGGACGCCCTTAAATTGACTCCAAATGTGGAATTGAAACCATTATTTCGATTAAGCACGTATTGGAAGTATTTTATAATCTTTAACAAGCGTTCATTATATAGATCCGTTAAATAAAATTACAGCTTACCAAAAATCAGGAGGTACCGTTATATATATATATATATATATCCAATTTTCAGTACCAACCATTTTAGGTATGGAATTTCTATACTCTATCTTTAATAGTGCGAACTCAATAATGATTTCTGATGAAGGGAAAGACGAATATGGCTAAATCAAGATCGAACTTACGCTGATCATGAATATATACTTTATGGGGTCTCCGAAGAATATATCGAGGTGCTACAAATGGAATCGCAAAAGTAATATTTTCTGAATTTAATGAGGGTAGCACCCTTAACACACCATAGGCTCATCACGCCATAACTTAAAATTTTGACTTAAGCTTTTATCATAAAAAAACCAAAAGGCGCAAAAAATATGGTGGATGTAATTGGCTGAATCAAAAGAAAGGTATATGAATATGAACGGGTGGATAATTTACACCGCTCCCGTCCATTTGATCTTCTAAATATTGTTCTTTCAAAAATGTAGTTTAACAATAGATTTATAGAAATATATCAAGAACCATTGATGATTATTCGTTTATTTATCAGAGTATCATTAACCATTGGGAATGAAACTTATCTTCACAAGTTGCATAAAAAATATAATTATGGAGTTGTTAATTATGTTGTGTAAATGGGTAGTACAACCCGCATATGGTCATATCGTCATTCACAGCATTGACAAATTAAAGAGTTAAACGTTATGTCAAAAGTCTCAGGTTGAACACATGAACTCCTTTAGTTTTGGTTAGAACTGTTAACTAATTTATGTATGTGCCTGAACAATTACTCACAAACATCCATTATAGATGAGGAAGTATGTCTAACTGTCTACTTAAGTTGTGACACAAACACACATGCATTCACACATAAACACTGAGCATTACCAATTTAATAATTTTTGTTTTACTATCTTCGTGTTTCCGTACACAAGGCATTAAAACTACACATCCGCGCATATACTCACACACACATGTCAATTAATTTTAATAATTGGCGTGAATTTGGCTGGTTGAGTGGGTGGTTGGCGGTTTAATGGCTTTTACATTATTTAAAGCTGAAAGTCTATGGTTGACCTATCAAATTAAAATTTGTCAACTTCCGAAAAATAGAAAGAACACTTTGTTGGAGGATGGGTCCTTCTTAAATACTCATTAACGACTATTTGTTGAGCGTTTCACCACAGAGTCTTGCATGAATAAACTTGCTATAAAAAGGATTGATTTGTTGAGCATTGCTTTCATTTGGTGACTGCATCGGCTATCGGCAACGATAAGTGAGTGATGGTGCCGAATTTTCTCAAGAACTCTTATCCTTTGAATAAACAGTATTTACTGATACCCCGGTTCGCCCTACGCATCCTCGGCTTTTACCCGGAGAGCGAATGGAACGTTTGGCTGAAGTCATGGGCTTTTTTCAACATCTCCATTCTCGCCTACGGCTGTTATGCCGAGCTCTACTACGGCATATACTATCTGCCCATTGACATTGTCATGTCCTTGGATGCTTTGTGCCCGGTCGCCTCGAGTATCATGTCGTTCATTAAGATTTTTTTCATTTGGTGGTATCGCGAACAGTACAAACAACTCATCGAAGAAGTCAGGCGTTTGACGGAGGACCAAAACACGCTGCGGAAGGAGAAAATGAAACGATGGTACTTTACAATTGCAACACGCCTCACTGCGTTGGTGTTATTTTTTGGACTCTGCTGCAGCACATCGTACAGCATACGAGCGATTCTAACAAACACACTATTGTATTTGAATGGCAAAGATATTGTATACGAAACACCGTTTAAGATGATGTAAGTTAAAGCTTTGTAAAAGTTTTATGGAAATGTTTTCAAATAATATTTGTGACGAGATAGGAAATTGGTTAGGTTTAGTTTTAAGAAATTCCATTTTATGAATAATATGTTGATATCGGTATCAAAAAGACGGTCCGACTTTATGATACCCTACACTACTATGCATTTTTAGTAAAGTTAGCCTTAATATATAAACTTTTCTATCGATAGCAGAGATGGTCTGTGTGATAGTTTTTTAGGTTTACGACTGTCGAAAAGTTGTGAACGTCTTATACATGTATAAAACGTGAAAAAGGTATAAAACGTCATAAACTTTTAAAATACTGTAATATCCCACATAATACGTGCCAAGTTGTTTGATAAACGTTTAGGTCGTTATTGAAGCCTCGCTGATATTAATGAGGATAGTTTCCTTGTGTAAGTCCTACAAATCTGGCAATGTTACTACAAGGAGTTAAAACTTAGGCTAGAGTTTTGTTCCAAGGACATAAAACTGTAAATATTGCCTTTTAATATCTCCATCAGGCAATAGATGGCCAAAGACGTGGCAAAAATGCAAATTTACAGAAATATGTTATTCTGATATCGCAAAAAATGGCAGTTTACCGCGGAGAAAAGCAACATATATGAAAGATATGGACTCGGACTCATTTAATCGATGAAAATCAGTGAAAATCCTATTGAAGTGTCCGCTATGTTACATTATATAATATGTCACTATATGGTGTCATAACATACCAACGCCTTCAACCACCACGTTTCTATCAAAAACTATTACTTTTTGTCTAGGTTTACGACTTTTTCGACGTATGTATATGCGTCGGAAAAGTATTTAATATACGTCAGAATTTTTGACAGACCATCTATGATAGATAATTTATGTGAAGTAAATCATACCAACTAAAATTGCTTAATTACTGATTGCGTGTAACGACTATAGAGCGGTTGGAATTTTACATACAATGGAACAAACATATGGACGCTATATCAAAATATTAATCAATTTCCACTAATTTGTCGAAAATTATGAATTTAAAAAGACTTAAGCTCGAACTAGTATATAAGCTGTAGCTATATCTTAACTACGCGCAAACTGAACCCAATCTGACAAGTTTTGACATAGGCGTTTCTGATATCTTGTTCTTAAACTCATTATTATGGTCATATTGTCATACAATATGATAGGAGGAGACAAATATATGAATATAGCTTATTTTCATCCAATTTTATAATATTATTTGCAGACGGTGCCAAATTGAAAATGGTTCGTACTTAGGTCAAACAAATGGTCTGTGCAAAATTTTTAATTGATCGGATAATAAATGCTTATGATAATAGAAGAACGGCTCATAATACAATGAAGATCACCAAAATTACCTGCCCGATTGAGATGAAATTTTCCACAAAGCACTTATATGGTCCAAGAACGGACTTTTTGGAATTGGTGATAATTGGTCCAAATTTAGATATAACTCTTATATATATATTGTCGTCCGGGTTTAATTTTATTGTGCGCAATACGTGATATATCTATACTTCCCTATATACGTTTCACCCGATTTGTTTTTAATTATTTCGTATTCGTGATACAAAAATGATATTTGGTACCAGACATCATATAAAGCTTAAAAACACCTCTGTTATATTTTATCAGATTTAGATATGGCTTCATCCGATTTCACGTTAATTGTGCCCCAAAAGTGTAATATCAGTCAAATTGGATAGATTTTTGCTCTTTCGACCGAATTTACCCTTCATATAAATACGATAAAAAAAACTCGGTCTCCATATATCTATAGCTTCCATATATATATTTTTTTACCCTCTACTATACATAGTATGAAGGGTATATTAAGTTCGTCATTCCGTTTGTCACTCATCGAAATAATAATTGTAGACCTAACAAAGTATATATATTCTTGATCAGCGTAAAATTCTGTTGTAATCACGCTAGATCCGAAACGAATAAAGATAGAAAGTTTGTCTGCAAGTAGGTCAAGTTTGAAGATGGGCTATATCGGTCCACGATATCGTATAGCCCCCATATAACGGTACCCCCAATATTTGTTATTTTGATGATTTTAACCCCATTTTTCAATGGATTTTTCAGAAATTCTAAACAAGGAGTTCTTCATGAGTACTTTACCTTCCGAAAAAGAATTATCTATATTGGTCCACGATATCGTATAGTCCCATACGATGGTGCCACCCAAATTTTGGAATTTTGAGGATTTTAGTCACATTTTGCAATGGAATAGTCTCAAATTCACACAGGGTGTTCCCTCTGAATACTTTACCGTCTGGAAGAGAATTGTCTATATAGGTCTACGTTTTAGTATAGCACCCATATAAAGCTAAAGAAAGTTCCTTTCGAATGGTGGAGGGTAGCTGCCTTTTTACTTGTCAATTTAAAAACTTCTCGAAGTCATATCATGCTCTCTATCGTAATGTTATTTTGGTACGTGAGGTACAAATGCCTCCGTCAAATTCGGTGAAAGTTGATTCGGAGTAGGATATACTTCCCATATATAAGTTCCTTTAGGTTTCAATTATAACTGCTCTAAAGCCCTAATCGCTATAAAAGCGTTTATTTTTACAGGTAGTCCTTCTCAATAAGCATAGTGATATTTATCCAATATCATTGTATATAAAACAATTCTAATATTTTATTATTTTTTTCAAATTTTCCAACAGGTTTCCTGAGCCACTACTCGCTATGCCCATTTATCCGATAACATTTCTTTTGGTTCATTGGCATGGCTACATAACTGTACTTTCATTTGTCGCCGGAGATGGTTTGTTTTTGGGATTCTGTTTCTATTTCTCAACTCTTCTAAAGGCCTTGCAACAGGATTTAACGGAAGTGTTAGGGGTAATCGATGGTAAGTATTTAATATCTCACTTATCCGAATGGATTGAAATACTGGTGCCCAATATAGGAAACTATATATGCATATTTTTATCTCGCCGAACTGAGTCGATCTACATATGTATGTCTGTTTGTACATGTTAACTTGTAATCACTCTAAAGGTCGTAATTATGGTGCCGATCCTCACGAAATTGAAAATAGCTTTTATGTCAACAAAATACGAAACTTTCAACTTAAACGCTAATAATTTAATCCCGGCGTAATTATTAACTATTATTAAATACACGAAAAGGTCACTTCTGACTTTACAATTTTGCTGATAGTAAAGATATCGTATATATAACGAAGTAGGTACAATATTTATGTAAAAAATAGATCTTAGTTATTCCGATTATAGGTAAGGAACCGCTGGACTGATTTTCACAATTCAATTCGGAATGATCTCTTGCCAAAAATGGATAAAATTTAAGAAAATAGCATAAAAATATGTCAAAAAACCGAATATTTTTTGTTAATTTTTTTCAATTTTTGTCATATTTTTTATGGCATGCGACTTGTTCAATTTGACTTACAATTTTAAATTGTACATTTTCTAAAGTGTTTTTATATCTCGCAACATGTGTGTTGAAGGTATTATATACAGGTCGCAATTGTCGTCGGATCCCCACGAAATTTTGCATGGAGTAGGGTTAAGGTCAGAATTAAAGCATATTGTTTTTGAATATGTACCTTTAGGGGTTGCAGTCGCTCTATAGGGCACAATTGAAAACTATTCGACACGGAATTTTTTGGATGACCATTGAATTATATCTAGCTGTAAAATGGACAACAACTTTCGTGTGAAAACGTTTTCAATGCCATACAACACGTCTGAGTGTGTAAATATTGGGCAAATGCCCAAAAATCCTAGGGTACCATCTGGACATTGCTATATGACATTGTTTCAAAAACGAAATCTTCCAAACGTGTAGCATTTTTTTACTTCCCATTCATTGTATTATAATCGCAGATTTGCAAAAAAAATTGTGTAATAGGTTAATTTTTTCCAACATATGTTATGTGAACCCTATTTTACTTATAGATCATTTGATTCTGCCAAAATATGACTCATGGAAGTAATGGTTTTATATCCATTGCCTCATTGGTAGAAATCTGTTTCAGGATGGTTGACGTCGATCCGTGTCGTTCGTCTTTTTGCAAGACTTTTTTCCTTTGCCGACGGCGAGTCTCGATATGCCACAATCTTCGGTGTTGTAATCGGCTATGCACTCTCCATCATTACTTGGTAATGAAAAAAATAGTTATTTGGTTCACTATTTTTTTAGGAATATAATAACCTCTTATTATCATCCTACTTGTAATGCAGATGGTAGTTTATTTACATTACATTCTAATGGATAATAAGGCTTTACAGTTTCCAAATTTTTGCTGGGTAGTAAAGTCTGTCTTTGAACTTGATTTTAGTTTTGAAAATGTATCAAACTGAGTACTCCATTCGAGTTAATATGTGAGACGAACGAATAATATATGTGACCCATTTTCGACCTCCTTAAAAAAAATCTATTCTTCAAAATATTGTTGCAAGAAATAAGCTGAATATCATAGAGATTACTTGAATTTCAAATTTAATTTTTTTATTTCCCATTATTTAAGATCGAGAAACCAAGAAGTACCGCAAGCTGACTGAATCCGAGAAAGTTATGTCGTTATCAAAGATAATAAGACGTCACAATGAAATCGCCGATTTAACAATGAAGCTTTCATCCATTATGGTTGAAATAACTCTCTGCCACTTTATTACATCCAGTGTGATTATTGGCACCAGTGTCATCGATTTACTTTTGGTAACTAAATTTTTTTACATTGAATTTACGACCAATGTCAAGCAAGTTACTTTTATAGTTTGCAGGTGGCTATGGTTCCATAGTTTATATTGTCTACACGTGTGCTGTTTTATCGGAAATCTTCTTATATTGTCTCGGTGGTACAGCTGTCATTGAAAGTGTGAGTAAAATGTAACATTACTTGATTCTAATGATCTGTCGAAGGGAATGATTTTCTAGAGTCAAGAATTGGCTGTAAAAGCGTACACCAGCAATTGGTACGGACAGAGTGTTAGAATCCAGAAAATGGTTCTGCTCATAATTGTTCGTTCTCAGAGACACTTTGTGGTAAAGGTGCCGTTTTTCACACCATCTCTACCGGCATTGACAGCTGTAAGTTTGAATGTTTTATAGAAAGAAAAACTGTTATTATAATTGGATTTCTATTTCAGATTCTAAGATTCACAGGATCAGTGATAGCTTTGGTAAAATCAATGATATAATCGGCAAAGTTTGTCTAATATAATCACATGGATTTTTGGGGCAGCAGAAAATATATTTATACAACTTACATAAAGTGCTTAAATGAACATATTTATTAGAAATTAAAATAGTATTTAGCTGTAGAAGGACATATAATTACATAAGGTCTATGGATTATTTATATTTTGGAATAAAAAGAGATGAAGTGAAAAAAATTACAGGAAATATCTAGAACATTATGAAAGTAGACTTAAAGTAGAAGGCCCGCCAATGATTCTAGTTGTAACCCGAAGCTTTCATCAAATTTTCTTGCTTAATTGTTTCGAAGTATTTTACAAAAAAAAAAAAAAAAAATATATATATATATCCCTCTTGTGAATGGTCAGGGCTTTTGATCTACAAAACAAGTACTATCAAATTTACTAGAAGTATTGGGCAGGGAAATTATAAGTAATTTAAGGTGAATTAAGGAGAGAAAGAATTTTTTAAAGTACAATTGATGATATTTTATGGTCCAATATTATTGATTGGGCCAAAAATTATGTAACACCTCGAAATATTCGTCCCCGATATAGGAAACTACATATGAATATGTTCATCTCGCCGAGCTGAGTCGGTCTACCTATGTATGTCCGTCTGTCCATGTTAAATTGTAATCACGCTACAGATCGCAATTATGACCCGATATCACGAAATTGCAAAAGAGTTGGGGTTAGGGTCAGAATAGAACCCTTTCATTTTTGGAGATTATCGGAACATATTTAAGGGTTGAAATATACCAAAAACAGAAAAAAAAATCCTGATTTTGCAGCTGCTCTACAGGTCACGATTAGCATTGGGCTAGGGCTTAGGGTTGGACAGAACTCCAAAATTTTGTTTGGTCATCGGACGATATTTATCGGGAAATATGTAAAAAATATCCACAAAACTGGGTACATAGATAATAGGTACAATATATATGAAGAAATTATTAGTTATTCCGCTTAAAAGTCAAGAACCACTGTACTGATTTTGACAATTTTTGCCAGTTCGGAATAGCCTCTTCCCAGAAGAGGACACAATTTAAGAAAATCGCGCAAAAATATGTCAATAAAATGTGAATATTCTTTTGACAATTTTTTTTTATCGCATGAATTTTTATACCCTACACCACATAGTGGTAAGGGTATTATGTCTTTGTGCATTTGTTTGTAACATGGAGAAGGAAACGAGATAGACCCATAGTTACTTTTGAGAACCTTCATAGAATCACTTTCTGAGTCGATTTATGCATGTCCGTCCGTCTGTCCGTCCGTCCGTCTGTCCGTCCGTCCGTCCGTCCGTCTGTCCATGTATTCTTGTGAACAAAATGCAGGTCGCATTTATTATCCGATTGAGATGAAATTTTCCAAACAATATTTTTTTGGCCCAAGGACGAACCCTATTGAAATTGGTGATAATCGGATCAAATTTAGATATAGCTCCCATATATATCTTCATCCGATTTCGGGTTAAATGAGCACCAAATGTCCACTATCAGTCCAAATTACCTGAATTTTGGCACACCCAACCGGGTTCGGCCTAGAAGCAAGTATATCAAATTTGGAGAAAATCGGTTCAGATATAGCTATAGCTCCCATATATATCTTTCATCCGATTTGATCTTTAAGTCCCTCACATTCCTACTATGCACTCCACAACCGTGATATTTGGTACCAGGTATTAGATGGAGCACAGAAATAGCTGTTTTAAATTTTATCAAAATCGGTTCAGATTTGGATATAGCTCCCATATATATCTTCATCCGATTTCGGGTTAATTGTGCTCCAAATGGCCGATATAAGCCCAAATGGACTGAATTTTAGTACATCGGACCAAATTCAGCCTAGAAGCAAGTACATCAAATTTAGTGAAAATCGGTTCAGATATAGATATAGCAACCATATATATGTTTCATCCGATTTAGTGTTTTAGTCCCTTACATTCGTAATGTTCACTCCACAACCGTGATATTTGGTACCAGATATAAGGTACAGCCCAGAAATAGCTGTTTGTAATTTTATCGAAATCGGTTCAGATTTGGATATAGCTCCCATATATATCTTCATCCGATTTTGGGGTAATTGTGCACCAAATGGCCGATATAAGTCCAAATGGACTGAATTTTAGTACATCGGACCAAATTCAGCCTAGAAGCAAGTATATCAAATTTAGTGAAAATCGGTTCAGATATAAATATAGCAACCATATATATGTTTCATCCCATTTAGTGTTTTAGTCCCTTACATTCGTAATGTTCACTCCACAACCGTGATATTTGGTACCAGGTATTAGATGGAGCACAGGAATAGCTGTTTTAAATTTTATCGAAATCGGTTCAGATTTGGATATAGCTCCCATATATATCTTCATCCGATTTCGGGTTATTGACCACCAAATGGCCTGTATAAACCTTTTTCCGAGAGCTCTACTAAATATGCATAGTGGTGTAGGGTATCATATAGTCGGCCCCGCCCGACTTTTGAGCTTTCCTTACTGGTTTTTTTCATATTTGACTTACAATTTCGATTTGTACTTTTTGTAATGTTTTTTTACACCCCACAATACTATGTGTTGATTTACAGGTCTCAATTATGGTCCGATTCTCACGAAACTATGTTGTAGGACCAGAAAAGAAGTCTATTCTTTTAAAGATGTATATTAAGCGGTTCAAATAGACCAACAAATCACATATTTTTATACCCTCCACCATACTATGGAGGGTATATTAACTTTGTCATTCCGTTTGTAACTCCTCGAAATACTCATATCAGACCCAACAAAGTATATATATTCTTGATCAGCGTAAAATTCTAAGTCGATTTATCGATGTCCGTCTGTCTGTCTGTCCGTCTGTCTGTCTGTCTGTCTGTCTGTCTGTCTGTCCGTCTGTCTGTTGTAATCACGCTATCTTTCGAATGAATTGAGATAGGTGGCTAAAATTTTGCACACATGTTTATTTTTCCAGTAGGCAGGTTAAGTTCGTAAATGGGCCATGAAGGTCCACGTTTTCATATAGCCCCCATATAACGGTACCTCCCTATATTCGGTATTTTGATGATTTTAGCGACATTATTCACGGGAATTGTTTCAAATTTGGTATTTGAAGTTCAAAATGGATACTACAACCCTAAGACAGAAAATTGTCTGTGCAGGTCCACGTCTTCATATAGCCCCTATATAACGGTACCTCCCTATATTCGGTATTTTGATGATTTTAGCGACATTATTCAGCGGAATTGTTTTAAAATTGGTATTTGAAGTTCGTTATGGGAACTACAGTCTGTGGCAGAAAATTGTCTGTGCGGGTCCAGGTCTTCGTATAGCCCCCATATAACGGTACCTCCCTATATTCGGTATTTTGATGATTTTAGCTACATTATTCAAAGTTTATTTCAAGTTTCGAATTTGAATATGGTAGTGGCTTATGACAAACAATGCCTATGTATGTCCACGTCGTATAGACCCCAAAATAACGGCTATATTCGGTATTTTTAAAATTTTAACAGAATTTTTTAAGGATTTTATTTTTTGAAAATTTCCAAATTCGTTGCAAATGGTGGAGGGTATTAAAAGTTCGGCCGGCCGAACTTACTGCTTCTAACATTTTTTTTTTGATTTTGCTGTTGCTCTTCGAGTCACAATTATAACCTATCGACACAGAATTTGCATGAGGAGAGAAGTCTAGCATTTTCGAAATTATTTTTCTATGTGAGATTGTTTTGAATAGCAATCAGCACGACAGTGATGCATATAAGGCAAATGCATCGGCCAAAAAAGGTAACATTTGTGCAGGACCGTCTAGCCAATATAAAATCGAATAAAATGGATTTGGACCTATGAAGGTTTTCGAATATATTGTAGTGTTGCCTTTGCTCACTTGTTAGTACTCAAAATGCATAATTTGTTCAGTTTGATAAACATTTTTAATCAGAACTTCATACATCGTACAAAATTTTCAGACTTTAAAGGTTTCATATTTTACTCAAGTTTTATTTTTTCCTAAGAATAATAGAAAAATGATAAACAACCCAAAAAGTCTTTAAAATCTTTATTTTCTCTTTGAAGATAACCGAAGAAGAATTAATAAAACCATTGCACAATGGCCCACATCAAATTGTTCTGTCCAAAACTATTTCAACGTTTTCATATTGAAAACCTACAAACCAACAGTGACCTCGATATCAAATTTCACAATTCCTTTTTTATTCCAACACCTAACGGCAGATTTTGTGGTATTTTAAATTTTTCTTGCATTTATAGCACTCATTTCCAAAACCACCTCTTTCTCTCAACTTCAGACAACAACAGTGAGATCCATATAAAATTTGAGGATTTCCGCTCTATCTTTTCACCTTTTTTACAGTTAAAATACGCATTTACAGTCTGCCATTAAAAATTTTGAAAACGCTCAAAAATAAATTATATTGGACTCCAATCCTCCTCCTCATTTCTCCCATCTTCATTTTGGGTTGTAGTTCCAACATCTGTGTATGTGTGTGTTTACAAAAGTATGTCATATTGCAAGAATGATCTATTGAAATTCCTTCAAACACAATCCCAAATGTTTTCCATCTTTGGTTCTTTGAAATGGTGTTGATGTTTATGTGCCAGTCCTTGAAATACTTTGCAAAGCGAGAAGTGATTTCACTTTTATTTCTCTTTGGTGTTGTTCGGTGTGTCTTATGCCTCATTGAAAGCATTTTACACATGTTGGCACTACGAATATGGAATCATCTTCAACAACGAAATGTTTTGTTTTACATTTTATGTGACCTTTCTTTCTTTTGCCGCTCATCAACTTTCGTTCGAGTGTGTGTGTGTGTGTAAAAAATCATACAAAACGCCAGCGGTAGTACCGACTTATGGGGAGTGGTATCTCTTTGAGATTTAAATCATGTTATTTTAATTTGTCGTTTACGTTCTGATTATCTTGTTGCAATGGATAAATAAACTATTGGCATAACTGATTTTATATTTTTTGCTTTTTATTTTCAAATATTCAGATAATTCAAGATTCTTGCGAATGTTTTTGTTATGCACTTTTCTTTTAAAAACGTAAAAAAATCGCCAAAAATTAACATGATTTTATCATACCCTCCT